CAGGGAGGTCCCTGGGCGCAGGGAGCCCCCCTCCCCCCACAAAGAGGGCGGATAAGCGCTTATTTTTAAAGCCTTTGGTATTTGCGCTTCGGTTTTCTTTATAGGTCCACGAGCAGCCCCTTTTCGCAGCCCAGGGGTCTGCCTCCCCCCCCCCATAAGGACTGCCCCTCTTCTGACAAGCTCTGTCCATCTCTGCCTGCTCCCATTGCTAAGTCACAGCCATTTCCACACAGGAGCACGTCGTGTTATCCCAGCCCCACACCAGCAGAATCACCACGACCAACAGGGAAATAACGCAGTGTATTTTAAACACGTAAAAAGCTAAAAGCATAGGCCGGGCTGCAGCATCTATTGCAGGACTGGCATCTTGCTTGGTACAGTCTGCAGTCATGGTTAATTGTGCTTGTACTTTGCTTCCTGGGCTGAGGGGTGTCTGGCTGTACACCACACACCTCCTGTGTCTCACACCAACGGTCTCAACTCTCTCCAGGGTAAGGACACAACTGAACAGCAGCAGTGCTGTGTTGCGGCTCCATCCGCAGTTGTCATCATCGTTACAGGCCCAAGGGGCTGTTTGCACCACAGCCAGCCACTACCACATGGACTACGTATACCAATGAAAATAACCCCATCCGGCAAGTACTTACAATAACATTAAGAACAAGATCTGTTAAAAACAATGCTCCTGTTGATGCACATCCTTGGAAGTGACAGGCCAGTATGTTTCCTCACCCAGCCCCAAGGTTGGAGTCAGGAGTTAAACAGGTATGATCAACCAGTATCCAGAAGCAGAGAGCCAGTTCTGTCAGGATACAATGGGAAATTAGAGTCCCCACAAACCAGAATAAGGAAGAAAGAAAAAAACCACACACACACACACCATATTGTTTCCTTCTGGTACTGTGTTTGTACTAGTGTTCTGTAGCACTTAAACTTTCTGGCTTGGACACCTGTCCAAGACCTATGTTCTTTTCTTTCTTCCTCTTCTAAACCAAATGGGTAGAACCAAGAGACTTGTTTTTTTACACAAGAGTTACCATAGCAAGTGTTATCAGATGCTTAATGAAAAGGCACTGAGGCCAGTTCTTATCTTTAAGGCACTGTCCGCATTTTTACAGAGCATTAACTTTACTAATGAAATTATACAGCAAGCTCTTAGTGAAAATACAGTTCTGCTTCTGAAAGAGGGCTCATCTTAGATGAGCCTTTTCCAAGATACTCCAATGGAAATAGGTTGTTGCTTTTCACTTACAGAGATCCTTGCAACTCAAGCTTATCAGCTTTTACAGCTATAGTGCAAATAAAAGTTCAGCCCATAGCTGTGGAAAGTCTACAGCATTAAAAACAAACAGAAAAGCAAGTCTCTGTTTAGAATAGATTTGAATGTGGAAATCCAGTTTGACTATGACAAAGCAACTGATAACATAGTTAAGACTAGTTTATCACAAGGAAGTGCATGAAGTTTTTCAAGTTTTTTTCCCCCAGAGGGGCATAGAAACAGTTACACAAAGCACTTTTGAGACATACTGCAGAAACAGAAGTTGAACTCACATCCTTGCTGAATTGGTAGTAAGCTCACAACAGCAAAACTAACCCCAGTAAGACTATGCCACCCTGTTTTGTACAGAGGCTTTGCCCATGCTGTGTATTTATGCTGCAAGAAAGAGAGGCGTGTTTTAGCCTGGCTTACACTAAAGTCATCTAACAGCAACCTCTAGTGGCACAGGAAGAGCTCATTCCCTGTTAGATCCATCTTCAGGAGGAAACAAGGAGAGAAACAAGACAAATCCCAGAGACACCAAAGCGCCTGTTTTGGGGAGGAGAGGCAGGGGCAACCTTGTTTCCAGAGAATCATAAGAGGTACTAGAGCAGTCAAGGAATAGTTTTTACACTGTTAATAGTCACATCACCAGGCTGAGCACGACACCTTTTGCGAAGAAAACCTTGAATTCCGTCGGAGGTAAAACACAAAAGGGAAAGCACAAGAACCCCACTGTGTTTTAGCTGTGAAGTTGTCAAGCGCCTGGAGGTAGTGCCATTGTCTGAATTCTGGCTAAGTAACCCAGATGATTAAACGATGAGCATTAAAACTTTGATTCTCCTACAGTCTATTTTAAAGCCATTTCCTAACCCACATGCTTCTTTAGGCCAAACAACATCTAACTCCCATTATCTGAGAGGACGTCAGTAATACAAGCGGGTAGCATTTTGTTAAAAATCTAACTCATTGCATGACATTATACGTAGTTTGCTTAGTTTCCCCCCTTCTGGGTATGTTCCAGCACTACCAGTGGCCTTGAATGTCTTGGCTGTAAAGGGAGCACCAACACCATTACACAACAGTTTATCCAACCAGTGAGGTCAAAGGGACTTGGTAGATGTTCTCTACAATCACTGTCTGAAAACACTGAAATCAACTCATGCTGGATTTTGAAAGCTATATTTTAGACAAAAACACAGTTCAAGTTTAAACATGAAAATACAGCATTGTCAGAACTAGTTTTGGTTTTTTTTTGCACTCTGAGGATATTGACAGAGCTAGTTTTAAGTGCAGTGTTGATTCACCTGTTCAACAGGAAGGAGACATATGCTTCTATTACAAAATACTTAAGTGCAGCCTTAACATGCATTTCTATTAAAAGTGCATTCATTTGGCTAAATTTTCATCTTGATACAAGTTGTCTGAATACAAGTGGATTACAGACAGCAAGTCTCCAAGCAAAAAACCCTTTCACAGACTATAGAAAGACATCAGCATTTAGTGTTCAGAGTAGCATGATTTGCTTAATAATCCACAGGTTTATAGCTGGGTACAGAAATATCATGCACAGCAATGCAAACCCATGTATTATTCTTAGTTGCTTTGTGGGCCATGTTACGATGCTTTCTTGAAACCTTTTAGAATGGGATAGATGTTCTCAAATGCTTCATAGATTTCAGAACGCTCTTTTGCTCCTGTAAAGACACGTAGGAAAAACAGATTAAGAATTAAGTGCTGAGAATAGCTTTGAATTGCATTCAGTTAATGATGAGACTATGAAGTATAGGAGTTTAAAAAGTCACTTTAAGAAGCAATGTTAGAGTGTTTTTTTTTTTTCCAAGCAGAATTTGTATCATGATACTTCTGCCACCTCACAAAGAACAGACTTTCTAGTTTGCTTTCTTTTAAGATGAGACTAGATTTGTTTAATCTGTAGCACAAAAACAGCAGTTGGCTACTCCTGGCAGGTGCAAAACATTGGGGAAGAAAAAAAGAGCCCGCTCTGAAGAACCACAGCATTATCTGTTTAACAGTAACAGCTCTGCCTGTTGACAGGTTCAGTGAAAAGCTGGAGACAAGAAGTGAAGGGCATTTCTTCCAATACTGGAAGTTGATCCACAGCTATTTCAGAACTGGAAGGGAGGAGTTCCTCAGAACTGTGGGATTTTGTTTGTTTTAAAACTTTAAGTTACCTGCAATTTCTAAGCCAGCCTTATCCATATTACCACAAGCAAATCTTTAATACAAAGCATTGCACATTAACTCTACTGCAGTGGACAAGAACATTCCTGGCCAGTGACAGTACTTTACCCTACTAGTGTAAAAAAACATTAGCTACAAGCAAACTGCAGCTGCATTTAAATGAGCTAAATAGCTAGACTAAGTGGCACTCAGGATGAACTTCCAAACCTTTTCCTTTCCACATGAATATGCTAGAACACGCTTGGTCATGACTAATTCATCTGAGTTACCACAAGAACCATTCTGGATCAGGAGGAAAAAAAAAACTGCAGCTCAGCAAATTTGTTTTTTTCATTATAGCTGGGCCCAGCGTTCAGAGATAAGGACTTGGTCCTTCCTTTGCCTTAGTCCTTCCAGGCCTGCTACACACTCCAGAGGGTGTTGCAATTTATGCACCTAAAATGTATTCTGCAAATATCAGCAGAGTAGAGCTGACCAATATGAGTTCATTCAGCCTAAAATGGTGGAGGGAAATTGGAGGAGGAAGCATTTAAGCTTCGTCCTGCGTGCCCCATAGTTCAATTAGTTGAGCTCATTCATGATTTATGACTGTGAGAATCTCTGGCTAAGGCAGGCCCGTTCTCATTTGTCTTTCACATGCCACAAAGCTCTGATGTCAACATACACACAGCATCCAGTTCTTCTGGGAAGAAGTACTATTTACCTTTTGGTACATCTGAATAAAAGCATTTCCATGAGTTTTACAAAAGAATATTTAGGGACATGCGCTCAGGAATTTAGCATGTTCACAAGGGATCTGGCTACAGATATCTGCTGAGCACGCTTACTTAGTAAGGCTTTCACTTACAAGTACTTTGCCAAACAGTCTGGAATGGGTTCCTACACTCCACCCTTTCTTCTAATAATCTCTAGTGAATGTTATCAGTGAAGTGTTTTAAGAAGTTTGCTTCCTGTCCAAACAATTTTAAACTGCTGTTATTATGGTATCCATATTTAAGCAGCTGAATGGCTACTAGCATGTCAGCATCCTGCTGGGATTGGGTACATTTATGCAGAGCATAATACTGTATGCGTCAAATAAAGATACTCCAGTTTAACGACATGGAAATCTGAGACCCTGTATGAAGCAATATAAGATTATAGTGCAGCAATACCAATTGTTACCTGCAGAAAACACAAATAAGTATGATAAGGCATCAGTAGGCATAAATAAGCTTGCTAAGCGGTTTTACTATGGCAAGATATTTGTTTAGCTAGCGTTCAACTTAAACACTTCCTTAGAACATGCGGTAGCACTTAGTTACAGCTGTACAGAGGGAGACTACTTACCAGTCAGTACAACTTTTCCAGACACAAAGATGAGCAGCACTATCCTTGGTTTGACCATCCTATAAATAAGTCCAGGAAATAGTTCAGGTTCATAGCTGTTTAAAGCAAACAAGTAAAATATAAGCGTGTTTCAGTGTTGTCCGCCTGAAGTGCTCTTAAATTACAATAATGTAATTACAGATCTTAAGCTAACTGCTCATAGAAAGGTAGGCTAGATTTTAGACATCTTGAAGGGAAACCTGATAAACCCTGCCAGAGCTCGCAGGAATTCTCTGCGCTTACTTTGAAAGACTTCTGAGCCACTTCTGAATCTGCTTTTCCATGGTGCTAAAACTATTATTGTAATCTTCCAACAGCACTCAAACCCTTCTTTGACTGCAAAGAGCCCTTATTATGGAGTGCCTTGTGCAACTAAGACAGGAAGACAACCAAGTGCATCTTTAACATATATTTAGTCTTTCAGCCAAAGCAGCCCAAAATTAAATGCAAAATATTACATGCAGTGCTAAAACACCCCATGTGTTTTTTTTTTCCCCCTCCAACATTGAAATTTTCATCTTTTCCTTGGTGCTGGTTGTTACCGGCTTTGAATAAACCCATCCTGAAGAAGGCACAGCACGTCCCTCACTCAAACACAGGTTTACTTTAAATTAATGGGTAATAGACATCCAATCAAGTAAGAACCAAAGTGATATCCCAGAAACACGCTATATTCCCAGTTCTATATTTTGAAACTGGTGTCTGGCTTCATACCAGACGTTTAAAAACCTTAACTCCCATCAAACTAGATGTTTATCTGCAAAGATTATGTCAGAGGCCAGCTTAGCAAGACATTTACAGTGAGAACGTGGTCTGTGCCCCTCCTCCAAGTAGCTTAAGAGCTGCTTTAATTAAACCTGAGTTGTTTAATCAAGACTTGTTATGTTCCTGTTGACATGGTCTACAATGGGGGGGGGGAAGGTGAGAAGTACCCACTAAGGTTTGACATTATACATAGCTACTCTCATAAAACTCTGGTTACTAACGCTGCTCAGATTAACAAAAACCTTTGGTACACATTTCTTTGTGCATAGCTGGTATGCAGCAGCACTGAGGATTGTGTCAAACAGTAACATTCACGATCAAAGGCAAAAAAAAGTCTTTTTTAATCAACTGAGCAGAGAAACTATGAGATTCTTGCAAGTCTCCAGTCCTTCATCCTAACCACATCTAACATGCATCCAGTTACCCCAGAAGCGATTCAAGACTTATGTAGTATGCTCCCAGTTGCAAGGATTCTAAAGCTGGTGCTTATAGTGTGCCTGTGAGGAGAAAGCAGTGAAAACACCCAGGAGAGCAATTTAGAAGAGCCCTTTGCTGCTGCATTGTGCCAGTCACTGCTCCAGGAGCTGAGACCTCTATTGCCAGATGCCGTGCATCATCATGCCAATCAGAGGGTCATTTTGGCCTATGCCCTGCTAGGAACAGGAGTTACTGTGAGAGAGAACCCTTACTATCCTTATTGCAACATATGGCACCCAAAACCACAAAAAAAGCCACACACTACATATTCAGAATCCAATTAGTTACTCTTTTGCCAGGTTTGTACAGCTTCAGAATTTGAGTCTGTTCACAGTTTACAAAAACACTGCCTCAAGCTACATGGGGTTGCAACTCTCACTACCACCTACCTACTGAACTGCTGGTGGGTGAGAACCAACCCTTCCAGCCGGATGGGGAACCTCACGTCACAGCTCCCAACCATATTCTGTATCTTGAAGTCCAGAAACTTGGCGGGGAACCCAAGCTTCTGCACCACGCGTGCATACTTCCTCGCTGCAAGCCGTGATTGCTCTTCACTGAAGGAAGAGCAGAGGTGGAAATAAGCTTTGATTAGTGGTTTCTTCTGTTTTGAACCTGAAATTCAGTTCGCGTGGGACGGTATTAACACCTTTTCGCTGTAAATCAACACCCAAGCTTGGACTGGGAAAAGCTAGGTTTCTTCAGAAAGAGATTGACCTTGAGGTTGCTGTTCATGTTAAACACCTGGAGTTTTTGGCTATTTCTTTTTATAATTGCCATGAGACTCCCTGTCCGGATCAGAAAAGATCTGAAATGCACCTTCAAAGACAAGCTAGGGGCTAATTGTTTGATACTAAACATCACCAAGACAAATATATGGCACATGAGAATTTTCCTCATACCCCTACTCAAGTTAAAGCCTCGATGCTCCAGAGGCAACTACCTTCCTTCCTCCTCCCAACTTCCATATCTCATGCAAGCGAGACCACCTGTCTTGCAGATCATCTAATTTAGTCAACTCTCAGTTGGCTTAACTGGTCCAAGTTCCAAAACTTAGCCTGAAGGTTCCTGCTTCTTTCCCACTTGAAAGCCTTGTGTGTCCCATGGTTGGTCTGCCCATTACAGGGGTCAATCTGCCAAGGAAGTACTCTCTTCCTACAAGCTCCAGCTTCTCTATTTAGGTAATTTTGCCTGCCATACGCTTGTTCTGGAGCAACCATATCGCACCGAGAAGCCAGGTGCTAGCAGGAACATGCAAAGAGCTCTGGTAGTTTTGAGGTAAAGCCCAACCTTCAGTGTGGAAGTTTAGACTGACAGGAATGAGCTTAGTGAGAAAAGGTCTCTTAAGCTGTAAGTTAATGCATTATCCCATTGACATTTAGGGCCATCAATCAAGGAAGCTGCTGAACTTGAGGACAAGAGCCTCAGAGTGCAGAAATAATCTTTGCTTCTCTCAAATCCCTATTTCCTCTGGAGGCAGATCTGTTGGACTAGTGAACACTCACTGAAGAGAGACTTGACAGACACAGGTTACGTCCTGACTCACTTTAAAGTCAGTGAGAAATGCAAATAACTCCCTTAACAATTCCTAGGCATTTTCACAGCTTTTCTGCTAATGTCTGCTCAGCTCAGTCTATAATTGGGAACAGAGGCATGCAGTTCAGTAACTACTAAACTCCCACCATGAAGAAAGCTAAACATTTTCAAGACCAGTACTGCATATTATGGCAAGCCCTTTGGTAGATAATTTAATCAAAGTTTTCTGTCAGAAGAGCATTATAGCTGCAAGACCCAAGCCTGGGGGGGGGGGGTTTTTGCTCCTGTGCAGACCATTTTTCCTGAACTGAAAATAAGCGCTGTTGTTCGTGGCTCCCTGATTCTCATGATCACAGCAGCGAACCTCTAGAAATTCAAAGTAATACCTTACAATCAAGCTGAGAGATTTAGTTGATACCGCATTTCAGTTCATTCTTTCAGGAATTATCTCCTTCAAGAAGCTCAGCACAGCATGGACTTGCTTTGTTAGTGTTTTTCTCTTTTTTTTTTTTGATTTATTACCTTCAGACAAGATTCATCTCCAAAGAAATGAGTTTACGAACACAGGCACAAGACCGCTGCCTGTTTCCTCACATTTTGTTTAACAGCCTGGAGTCATATTCAGTCACCCCATCCATTCTGAGCAAGTTTCTACAGTCTAGGCCACTTGCTAGAAGTGTCACATCATAACACAGCTTCCTCAAAAGCCAGTCTGACTCCCATAATTCTCTTTCCTTCACCCAGAAGTTTTGGAGCAGGTCTTTCCTCCCCCAGATGAGGGCTGCTTGAACCATTTCAGCTGGAGGTAGGAGGCCACAGGTGGGAGAGGTGACCTCCTTTCTTAAAAAGGCTTGGGTACACCTCATTGCAGGAACACCCTATGTGCTTTATTCAAAGAAAAAAGGAGTACAGGGGACTTTTTTTTTTTAAATTGGACAGAGCTAAGTTGCAGAACTTTTGTGACTTTCCCCTATGGATCAAGATAGGGCTATTAGAAAAGGGGCAAAGCTCATGGTAGATCTGTACGTTTTAATTCAGCAGCACCGAGTAAGGGAAGTGAGGGTAAAACTGAAAGTCCTTAAGGTTTACCTTTGGGTTGTACTCTGCATTTCTGGCCTGCAGAGCTATGTTCTTCAGATCTAGTTTACAAGCCAAGTTTACAGTCGACACTATGTTCCTGAGGAACAAGAGAGGAATTTTCTTATTGCAAAAGCAAGCCATTACAGAGCCAAAGCCCAACATTATTAGCTTAGTGTGAAGTCACAGTCCAATTAGTTGCCATCAAATAATTTCCTGCCTGCCTCTTTCCTACTCCAACACTAAGCTACTTTTGGCAAAGCTTAAGTAATTCAATACCAAAATTAAGGTTTCTCACGGCAGAGGATATAACAGGGTTTCAAATTATTAGTCCCTGCATACTAAGCCTGCGTATCTTCCAATAAATACATCAGTGAAGCCTTTTACAGCTTTAAATTGCACTAAGTTTACAGAGTCACTGCAGCACTCTTAAGGTAGATAAGGGTATCTTATCCTCTACAAATATAAACTACTCCACGGTTGCTCTCATGTAGACAGGACCCTGTAACAATGCCTCTTTTCTTGTCCCTCTCCCTTGCTCAGTTAAGGCTGCATTTCTGCTCTCAGAGAGGAGCAGATTCACATCTTTAGACGTGTGGCGTCACTCTGAAATTCTCCTTACTGGAAAAAGGCCTCCTTTTCAAGCGGGGTTTTCTTTTTGATCTTTTTGTTCTGAAAATTGCAGTAACTAGGAATATATACTACACAGTAAATCATTTCTATCAGACAGTTCTCCCATGGACATTCTTCATCTCCTGTCTCCCAGATGATATATTTCCCTTCGGGAGCCAGAGGCATTGCAGATACTCGCTCAACCGGTGTGTTTAATCAAGTCCCCTCTTCCCTATTTTTCTAGGCTGTGTATGGTTCTACGCTGTTTCTGTTTTTATATTGCATTCATCAGCATAATATCCAGTTGTCTTCCTGTATTGTCTATTCATTTGTTCCACCTCTCAAAGAAAAAACAAACCTCACCCTCACACAGTTTTTTGGGTGTTTCCCCCCTCCCCCCACCTCAAAAGACCAACCCATACTTGCCACATTCTCCAATAAGTGAAAAGTCAGGGTACTACCATGCTCTTCAAGCAAAACACACCTAGTCCTCAAGGAGATTAGGCTTCAGCAAACATGGTACTGTCCCCAAAACCATTACATATGTTGCACAAATTTACTTACTGTAACTGAGGAACTATGCCAGAGCTTTCTGATGCAGGTGTCACTGGGGTCATAGGCGTCATTGGTGTCAGAGGAGGACAGACACCAGGTGTTTCAGAGGATGGCTGGGTTGCATCTGTATATGACAGATTGCTTTCATCCATGAGGATACCACTGTCCTCATTTCTTGATACTGACCCATCAAGCTCTTTTTGCATTTCATGACCATCTTCAGATGGATTTTGTTCTCTGTCATCTTGGCTAATATCTGGAAGAAAGCTGAGATCCACAGAAGAGAAGTCTGGAGGAAGCTCTTTGGGCTGATTAAATTGAGCACCGAATGATGCGTCTGGAGTTGTCTGAATTGGAAGGTCTACGTCATAAGGGCTCATGGGAGTAAACAGCTGAGGACTAGTTGAGAGGTCATCCTTGAATTAAGAAGAAGCATCATTAAGGTTTTTGTATTAAAACATATAATTCAACTGGGAGACCGAATAAAAAATACATCTTCTATTCAATGAGGAAGTTTCAATATTCCCCCCCCCACACACACACACATTAGAGCAAAGAATAGTTTCAAAGGTGTTGCCCAACTGTCTATTGCCATAAAAAAAAGGGAGATATTTCCCCCCAGCAAAATTTTATTTTTATAGCTCAAGGGTCAAACTAGCAAACAAAACAGCAGCCCACAAGTTGCAGGTGATGGCCCAAACCCAGTAGCTCCACCCCTACTAGAGAGTCAAAGATAGAAGGTATGAAGAGATGCAAGAAACAGTGGCCTTCCTACAGCAGAGATGTGCACGCTCCCACTACGTTTCACAGGCAGTCGGGACCACTCCAATCACACTACAAATTGAGAAATATTATAGACAATCATCGGTGGCTGGAGGAACAATGTTGGCATTTTGCCCTTCACAGCCTTTGTTGCGCCTCAGTTATAAGCGACATAATTGCTCATGAGTTTTTTCTGTGGAAGACAGCTGGCATTTTCTGGCTGGCTCTAACCCTCATTCAGCATATTATGATTTCCTCCTCCTGCTCACAGGGGACAGTATCAGTGTTACATTAGATTTGTGCAACAGAGGGCAGCAGTTCACAGAATCCTGAGCAACTTAAGCACCCAGTTGCTGGTGGTTACCAGACTAATTTAAGCAAGCCACCGCTTGCAAAGCCAGTGTCCTTTCCCAGATCAAGTGATTAAGGCATGCAACGTAACTGCAAGCAAATTCTTGCATGCTAATGTCCTCCTCTATCAACATCATCGGTTTAATTTTTTTTTTTTTTTTTAAACATTGAAAAGGCACTGGAATACTGAGGAGGCGAGTGCTGAAGAAAGGAGGTACTCCCTTATTCGTCTGGCTACAAGGCTCTCATTAGTGGAAAGCTTATTCCGAGAAGGCTATCTCAGCAGCTACCCACAGCAGGTATCAGCCTGGACTAGATGATCCATACAAACGGTCTTGTGTATTTTTAGGATTGAAAGCCAGAAAGACTTGGAAATCCAAGCACACGTGGAGCTGGGAGCAGAGCACAAGACAGAGGCCCTTGAGCCGACAGTACCTGCCTGATCTCCGGGGGGAGCAGAGTTTCCAGATCGGCGCTTCGCAGCCAGCGTTGCTGGGGGTTCTGCGCCAACCAGTGCACTTAGCAGTGCAACCACGCGTGCTCTGCACACGAGGAGAGCTCTGCTCCCTCTTACGGGGCAGCAGATTTTTCTGCCGACACTTGGAAAATTCTTGAGTGACAAAACCTGCTCAGAGAGCCTTTACTGACTTGAATGCAGATGCAATCAGGTCTCATTACAAAAGCTTCATGGGTACCTAGACTCAAAGCTGTTTCTTCTAGGTACAGAGCTCCATGAAAGATCACTTGAGATGGACTGATCCTGACTAAATCTGGACACTCCTTAACCCCTTTAGTCTCTGGAAAACAGGGCCCAAGAGCACTCAGAATCAGCAAGTCAGATACAAGTGTATTTTAAAGCAATAAACAGTTACATACAACGAGACAATATGCTATGGAACAGCAAAAATACATCTAGTTTAGAGATATTTTTAAACAATATTTTTATTTAATTTTTCCATGTTCGCAACAGGGGAAGGAAAGCACAGTCTCTGCAAGTCCTCCAATACGCTAAGATTTAGTTGCAGAGGAGCTGACTAGCAATTTTTCTGCAAACCCAGTGACGTGCAGAAGACAGTACAATAAAAACAAACAAAACCATCTCATTGCTGAGAGGCTGCTGAGAGGCGTACTCAAGGGCATCAGAGAACGTAAGTACTGTAACAGTCAAGAAACAGAGGTAAAGCAGAGTTTGTGGCATAACTTGAGGAGAGAAGTTGATGAAGAGTGGTGTATATGAAGCCACAAGCCTTAAACAGCTGGAAAAAAAAACAAAAAAAAAAGCAACAGAAAGTAAACTACATAAAGTAGATGAAGATTTGTTTTCTGTCTCTCTTTCTCATCAGGTTTCCAGATAACAGCTTTAGAAAAAACCTTATAGGGTTAAGCGCTGTGGAAGATTGGTTTCTTGTTAGACAGATGCTCAGAGGCTGTGGAAGGGGGCACAAGACCATGTTTATATTGGGCTGCCTGCCAAGGGTTATTACTACAGCCTCCAGGTTAATTAACTTCACTGAAGGCCCCATCAGCTGCACAGCTTTGGGGATCTCCCAGCAGCTCCATAAAGGAGGTCTCAGACAGAGAGCCTGTCTGAGCTCACCAAGTTGGGGCAGTTTGAGGGAAACAGCCATTTTCACTCCCATCGCAGGACTCCAGGCAACCCAGGTACACATAAACCAAAGCCAGCTGCTTTAAGCAACAGACTGGGTTTCTCTCCCCCCCCCCAAACTGATACCCCACACATGTGCTGCAAGTAGTAACCCAGCAAGCCTGAAATGCAAACTTCAGTAGTGCTTGCAAAACCTGGGTCGTAAGTCACCGCATTAGACATCCTACAGCATCGTAGTCAGAGGGCTGCTGCCCTCTGCTACAAGGAGGTCTGTGGATTTACAGAGCCTAGCTAAACCCTTTTCCTGAGCTGAAAAACACCTCAAAGCAGGATGCACCATGTCAGTAAAAAGCAGAAGGGGAAAGCACTGTGCTACAGGGTGGGCACAAGGTCTGGCTGCAGCCCCTCCACCAGGGAGCCACCTAAGACCAGGCAGGGCCTTTTAAATGGGGAGGGGGGGGAAAATATATTTTGGAAAGAGTTGCTCCCCTCCCCCGGAGCCAGAATACCCCAGCACACAGGTCAGGCGGGGCGAGCAGCGCTGCACTTGAGGCGCAGGCAGAAAGCCAAGCCCGGCGGTGCGTTGGTGGTATAGTGGTGAGCATAGCTGCCTTCCAAGCAGTTGACCCGGGTTCGATTCCCGGCCAACGCAAACTCCGTGTTTTCCTTTCCCCTCACTTCATTTTTCCCCTTCCCGCTCCCTACCTGCCCGGCGCAGCGCTCCAGGTACCGCTC